AGCAATTCAAATCCCAGAAATCTAAATCACAGAAACCGAAACTCCCAACAAACCCTATCACTCCCAAAATTCATAAATAAATCGCTAAACCCCAAACGATCAGCCCAACCTCTGCTCTCTTCACCTGCAATCCCATTTCATCCATCCCTGGAATCGCAAGATGTCATCCATTTCCGCGTCCGACCCCACCACTCTGGACCCGCAGTCATCCCAGAAGGGTTCCATCGAAATTTCCGCGGGACGAACAATACGCCCGTCGAGGCTCCAACGACGACAATGTGGAACGCGGCCGTTCCGCGGCGGGTACGCGTACCGCACGCGGGCGGGACCGCCCGCCCCGTCTTGTCGCCGGTCGATAGCGTTAGCCACGCGTGTAACGCGACACCGTATATCTGCTGGTAGATTGGAGACGGCGATCGCCGCTCAGGGAGGTCGGCCGTCTTCCACCTGCCATAATTCCATAGAGTCTCTCTCCTCTCCGCGCGCGCGCTCGCTCGTTCGCTCGCTCGGCCCCTTTTCCCCTTTTGCCCTCTTGAATTACTGAACGCGTGATCGATCGACAAAGAAGAAGCGAGAGAAAACGGGGAGCGACGAGTAAAACCAGAAAGAAGAAAGAGGGAGCAAAGGGGGTGGTCCCGAGGACTCGGCAAAGGACTCGGGGTATCGAGTTTTGATTCCCGCTCGCCGGGAAACGGGATACGTCCAGCGAAATGCTCGCACGATCGTTAGGCGCGCGCGGAATTCCGCTAGATCGTTAATCCCCGTGGAAACCGTTGAATTCCTCGGCAAATCGTGACGCGAGTCGGCTCGGGAAGACGCTCTCGCGGAACTAATTCGAAACGTCGGACTTTGTTCCATCGTGGTGCGAGAGAATTGTTTATCACCGTTGTTTCTGGTAATAGTGTCTTATGGATTGTTTGACCTTTTGACGGCAGAATTTTGCGACAGTACTAGGAAGTGTAGAGAAACACTGAATTGAATTGAATGAAACTGACATAAGATGATTACGTTTATGTGATAGTCGACTAAAGATGCAATTGTTGAATTCATTTGTGTCTAAACAAGCTTTTCAATTATTGTCAACATTTTGCCAACAGTATACTGAAACCAAATTTTCAAGCCTTTGAATGTCAATAGTAACTAGGGAGTTAGAGAAACTGAAGTCTATAAATACTATTCGTAGGACGTTACGTTCTAGTCTCTTAATTTCATTTCTTCAATACATCCTCGAAGTCTCGTTCTTATGTAAAGATACTTAGCTATGCAATTTTGCTAATTACTACAGTACTTAGAAAAATATGAAATTTGATTCAAACTGATTATCTATTTAAAATACATTGCATAACAATATATCTGAGCTTTTGTATGTAGCAATATAAATTGATCTCATAGAAAATTTCCACCCGAACAATTCAGTTTGACTCTCAACCACTTGATTCAATACAGTAAAACTATGAAGTTGAATATTTAGTATTCTAAATGAAACTTTGTATTGCTATGTGGTATTTAAATAAAACAGCTTCGTCGCTTAATTTATCTATGAATTACAGTTCAATGAAACTATCTATATCTCGTCAGAAAACGTTGAATATTTCCATTGAAAAACTGTCGAGTGCAAAGGTTTGATAAAGTACAACTCAGAAGTCTATCGCGTCAAACAAGCGACCCGCGATCATTCTACAAACACTCAAACTGATAATGATCCCCGTATTAATCGGAACCGAACGACCGGCTCTCCGCGCGACAGAAAAATCGTCGCGGCCAAGGGGGCGTGACGCGGGAATCGAACGGTTAGCGGTCGGCGAGGGTTGAAATTCCCTTTGCTGGATGTTTAATGCGGCAATCTAGGGGCGTGATAAAGTGCCAAACGAATGCCGAAAGGGAATCGCGAAGCGAGCGGGCCGAGTGGCCCGTGATGTGCTCGGGATACCGGCCGACAATGCTGGCACAAGCCATTACATTGTATAAACACGGGTCGGCCGCGAACGTTCGGTCGGCGAGCGTTTTGCGGGAACCGAGTGGCCACTTCAGAAACTGAAACGAACGAAAAGAAAAGAGTACGACCGCGGCCTGCGGTCTGCGATTCAAACGCCAACCCTTACGGTACTTCTGTCTGTGTTGCTATCTCTCTTCAACGTGTCTCGCGCGCGTCGCGCAAGGTACATTCGGCAGTTTCTCTCTTTCCACGTTCCACCGGCGGGGGAGCGGCCTACGAATTCCCTTTGCGGCGCCGACTGAATGGACGAGTCGGCCGGAGATCGCTTTTTTAGAGAATGAGACTCGGCAAGTGATACTCACCTTTGCCCGCGAGGCTCTTCAGTTGCGACTGTCGGACGCGTCCTCGGTTCTTGATTGTCTTTTGGGTGCCTCGTGCCGCTTCGGGGGTGCGTCGTTTGCTCGCGTCGCGGCTGGTTGCTGTGGACATTGAGATTTGTGTTAGTTGGAAATGTAGAGGCAGTCGTCGTAGTTGTGGATTTTTATCTGATATGATCGTTTTTCGGTTACAAACTATACGATTTGACAGGAATATCCTGAGTCAGAATGGTAACACGCGTCATCCCTTAAAATGCGTCGAATCGTTAAATTCTTTAGAGTTTATTTTCTGGCTGTAAATGTGGAGGTATTCGTGGATGTATAGTTGTGAATTTTTATTGTATGTGGGTGACTAGATTTGTAGGGATATTTGGACGTGTTTATTGTAGATTAATATTGTAACTATCTTAGATATAGAAACAAACATGTAGATTAATATTATAATAATCTTAGATATAGAAACAGACAGATCAAGTCATTGTCGGATTTGTTATCTTACTTATAAATATAGATATGTGTAAATATAGAGGTATTCATAGATGTATAATTGTGGATTTTTATTATATATAGATGACTAGATTTCTAGAGATATTTGGACGTGTTTCTATATCTAAGATTGTCATAATAAGAATCTACAATAAACAGATTAAGTCAATGTCCGATTTACCTCATTTATAAATATAGATATATTCTCAGAATTTTATTATATATAGATAGTTAGATTCACGTGTTTCTATATCAACCGTCGCCAGTCTACAATAGTCAAAACAAGCCACTGTCATTCGTTGAACTCCAATCTCTCCACTTTCCCGGTTCCCTTGAATATTTCAAGCTCGCTTTACCCAGCCCATTCAAAGACCGAAGAAAGAAGAATAACGTTCTTTGCATACTCGGATTAAAAGGCAAACAATCCTTCGCTTCACAAGGAACCCCGCGAGGGTGGTGGTCGGGGGGCGGTCGGAGGCACGGGGATATATCCGTACTCGTTGAAAGGAAATTTATGGGAATTAATATCGGTTCCCCCGAGTAGCTGGTGAAAGAAAGAGATCGGAGAACGGCGGCGGGGGCGGGGGGTGGTTCGAGAGGTAACTCGATTCTAGATGTCTCGGGGACTCGCGGAATGCGACTTCGCCCACATGCATGGGAGGGAACTTTAAGAATTTAATTCGTACACGAACCTGCTCCTCCCACCCCTAACGTACCCCTGGAAGTTAGGGAAAGACTTCCTCATCCCTTCTCTCGGTTCCGTTTACTCTGTCGGCGAGGGTGTGCTGGGAAACGTCGCGGAACCGCGAATCGATGGGGATTCAATGGGAATAGAAAGGTTGTAATGGAGTGCAGCGATAGAAAGGTGTAGTAGACGAATGTGGGAATAGTGGGAAGAGGAATTTTGGAAATGGAAACTATGGGAGTGAATGTTATGGAAATGGAAGTAGAGATTGGAAATATTAATGAGGAAATTATAAAAAGAATTGTGGATGGTGGAGCTGTGGGTGAGGGAATTAGGGAAATTGGAGTTGTAGAGATGGAATTGGTGAGGAAGTTGTGGAAATTGGAAGGATAGTGAAATTGTGTGTGAGATAGTTCTAATGATTGAAATGATAGACATTGAAACTATAGATAAGGAGATTATACAGATTGAAATTGTAGATAAGGAAATTATAGAAATTGGAATGATAGATAAGGAAGTTGTGGAAATTAGAATGATAGTGAAAGTATACGTAAGATAATTCTAAAGATTGAAATAATAGAAATTGAAGCTATAGATAAAGAGATTATAAAGATTGAAATTATAGATAAGGAAATTATAGAAATTGGAATGATAGTGAAACTATACATAAGATAACTCTAATGATTGAAATGATAGACATTGAAACTATAGATAAGGAGATTATAAAGATTGAAATTATAGCTAAGGAAATCATAGAAATTGAAACGATATAGACAGAACCTATAAATAAAGGAACCATACAAACACAAACACGAGTACCGCGAGCGGCCGAGCGACGTAACATCCGATCGAACCAAGCGAAGACCAACACTGTATCGAGCCTAATCGTCCCTTCAATCTCCGCCGAGCCCGATGGGCCAGAAAAAAGCGTTACACGCGTCCATCGACGGTCACTACGCACCGACGCATCGGCTCTCTCGAAAAAAAGTCACCATTAAGCCACCGTATGTCTCCCAGAGGGATGAAAACGCGGAACAGCTCGCAGGGGGTGGCGGTATTAAACGCGGAAACCGAGCTTATCGCTGAAACACTTCTCCACGGGGTCCCCATGGCTTCCTGCCCTGCGCTCCACCCCAACGACTCTGTTTTCTTTATTCCCAAAGCAGAAAACCGAAAAAAAGGCCTTCGCAGAGGAATCACTGTAAAAGGCTCGAATAATCGTCGGCCGGAGGGGCGAGGAACACGGAACACCCCCGCGGCGGCGGAGAAACGTTACAATGCTCGGGCTTTTAGCCGAGCAAACATCCCAGCCGGAGGAATCCCGAAACCTTATCGATCTGGATCGCGAATATTCGGATTAACTGTTAGGGACGACGGCAATAATAACTATGATCGAACGGCAATAAAGATACCACGGCGAAAGCGGGGGATACGATCGACGGAGGAGAAAAAAGGGGAAAAAGATAGGAGAAAGAAGGGCGAGTCCTGAAGAAGCTTGAATAGAGATTCGAAACGCAGAGGAAGAAGGAATAGGTCCGGAAACCTTTCGAACGAGGCGAGGGTGGCGCGTACGAAATTGCCCGGTCCGGGGCCCGATCGTCTACGCGCGAAAAAGGTCAAAATAGTTTCACCCCGGCGGGGAGGGAATAAAGAAGAGGAACGGAGACGAGTTGGACGGGCTTACACAGGTGGAGAGGACCCGAGCCGTTTCACGGCTGGTCCCGTTCGGCCGGGGCCATTTAAAAAAATAACCCGGCATTAGATGGCTCTCGTCTTATTTCATCGGGACCGGGCCGGACGGGACGGGCCCCGAGTTGGGCCCGCGATTACCACGATAACCATCCAGCGCAGAGCGTTTTTCGGAGTCCAGCGCACCGTCGCTCGCTCGCTCGCCCGCTCGCCACCGCCGCCGCCGCCGCCTTTGCCATCGGCGTCGCTGCCATTATATTTAACGCGATTCGTTTGATTCGCCTAGCCACCCTCCGCGGACCGCCCTTTCTCCTCCCCGCTGGCCGATTATTTTCTGGCTGGAAAGTCGGCGCTTGTGATGGCCGGGATTCGCGCAAGGAAATAATGCAAATAGAAACATTGCGGATCGAACGGTTTCTTACTACTGGAAGGTCTCGATCGAAGCGGTGATGAATTTTGTGTGTTCGGGTTTTGTTTAGCGTCTACTGTTGCGAGTGGTGCGAGTTTTCTTAGGGTGGGATTTTGACGAGTGGATGGATTGAAGATAGGAAATGTTAAGCACACATAGTTTTGTATATGTCAGCAACTCCTAGTAATTTTGATAGTAGTCCTACTGAGAATTAACAATGTTATAACATTTCTTAGATCTTTAATTCCCTTCTCAGTGCAATTCTTGTATATTCGGAAGATCTAATAATCTTAAGGTAGTTCCCTTAAAATTCATTAAAATATTTAATATTAGAACTCCTTGTTCTGAGGCGACTGAATTTCAGGTGTCATCGAGTTCTAGGATAACCTTGTTATTCGATTCTTCGACCTCGGCAAGATCGAAATCATTTCCAAACTATAAATCGTTAATTGTTCGGAGCTTACAAAGTCTTCAAAGAGTTCAAAGAGTTCAAAGCGAATACTTTATCATTTTCTCTGTTCTACCTCCTCCGATTCGCGATTGTTCCGAAAAGGTTTCGCGATCCGTTGGACCGAAAGAGAATCCTCCCTTCTGTAGCCGTATTTTTCTATTTCCATCTCCCTCGGAGCCGCTTTCCCGTTGTCAGGAGATTTCGACGAGCGTATCGATGGGACGCGTCGACGTCTACGCCGACAGGAACACATAATCCTGATATCTGTCGGTTTTCGGGCAATAAAACACGCGTCCCATCGGCGGCGCACCCCCGAAAACCGGCGCTGCCGGCCGCCGATAAAGAAACTGCCGCTGATACTGATCCCCCACCGTCGAGAACCGCGTCCTGCCTCTCCCCCCCTTCGACGCCCCGTTCTTCCGTTCGGCCGTCCCGCCCGTTTCTTTCTCGCCCTCGCGAGGGATTTAAGTTTCCTGAAAGATCGTAGTAACGCGTAATTACCAGTCCTTGGACGTAAACGAGCGGCGAGGTCAATCGGCTCCCGTTAACCGACGAACGTGCGCCGCGGACACTGCGTTATCACGCCCGGGACCCTATCATCGAGCGCCATCGACGATCATACTTACCGATAATGTAATACGAATCGGGAGGAAATTAATATATTCCTCGGTTCGCCACGCACGGGATTGCTACCTTCGGAAACAATTATCCCGGGCCGCGGGACGAGTCAGCGATGCTAACGCGCATCATCCCCTAGGACGCTGCCAGCGAGTCGTGTCCGACACGTTTCGAGTCCGTTTCTCGTTTGCTCAGATTTTTCGACTGTGCCCGACGTGACAGGATGTTGTAATCTGATCGCTTTTCAGTGAGAAAATAAACTCGGCCGAAGTTATCTGGAATTGTGAGACGCGGTAGCGATGGCTGCGCGTAGCATACCCTAAGGCGCTGGATCTTGGCTGAGACGTATGAAGCTTGTTTCTCGATTGTTCGGATTTCTCGATTCTCTTTGGGGCATTTCGATGTGGCGAATTGATCATTTCTCGATTAGAAAGTATACGATTAGATATGAACATCCTGAATCACGGGAATCGCAATGGTATCACGCGTCATCCTCTAAAATGCTTGCAGAGAGTCATGTCTAAATCTTGTACAGTTTATTGTCCATTGTTTCGTTGAATCGTTGTTTATATACTAGTATGTAAATCAACGCATTGATCATTTCTCGATCACTATATGATTAGACACGAACATCCTGAATCACGAGAATCGCATAGGCAATACGCGTCATCCCCTGAAATGCTTGAATCATGTCTAAATCATGTAAAGTTCATTATCCTTTGTTTCGATATTTAAATCGTTGTTTATACAGTAGTATGCAAATC